ACATCAGTTAATGTATTTTCCCAAAAGAGAAGACGAACCACTTTGTGAGGAAGATCCCAAACATTCAACATGTCTCCCCTGCTTTGTTAGGGCACACAGAGATGGCAGCTGAAACCCAACATAGAATAGGAAGGAGATCTTCAGGCGCTTGCTTCCAGGTCACGTGCAGCTTGTAAGAATTTGAAGGGCCTCTTTATTACAGCAATGGCCGTAATCAAAGTACATCCTCTGCAAGGAAAACATTTCAGAGGCTCACAGGACCAAAGGCTGCTTTAAAGATCATTAACATAGAAAAACACTGTTGATGTTTCTAAAATTTTTCTAAAGCAGGTTAGTTATTGCTATAGTTTGGATCTTGAATGAATAATTTGGATCCCTTCCAGGCCTATCTGGTAAAGCTTTGGTGCCCAGGTGTGTCCCATTGGGGAGCAATTGCACCTTTAACAGGTAGGGTCTTGTGAGCAGTATGGAGGTCACTGGTGGAATATACTTGAAGGGGATTGTGAGACCCTTCAGGCTCTTTTTCCTTCTTTTTGCCTCCTGGCCATGCAATAAGCAGCTTTGCTCCATTACAGGAACCCATTATAATGTGCTACCTCGCCACAGGCCCAAAGCAAAAGGGCCAAAAGATCATGGACTGAAACCTCTAAAACTGTCAGCCAAAATAAACTTTTTCTCTTTGTAAGTTGCTTATCTCAGGTACCAGTTATAGTAATGGAAAGCTGACTACCACAGTCATGATATACTAGCACAGACATGATAACATACTAATCCACATGATCCTTTCCAGCAGAGTAACAGATGCCTATGGAGAATGACAAAAAGACCTCCCTAGGGGTCTCTCACAGAGAAGGGTCAGGGAGACTTATTTTCTGGACCAAGGGGCAAATGGATTATCACTCTGTGGCTCAGTTTCCTTGTCAGGAGATGAGACGGTTCCTTTCCAATCGGGCTCTTCTGACAACCTAATGAGTTAATAAAATGTAAAGTGCCTGGTATAATGTGGCCCAAAGGTAGCTCAGGTAGGTACACATGATCACTGTCCTCACAATCTGCTTTCATGGAGCGTTGACGTTTTTCAAAAATGTATCTCTATTCTTTTTTTGGTACCGGGGATCGAACTCTGGTCCTTGTGCTTGTGAGGCAGGCGGAGGAACCACTGAGCTAAATCCCCAGCCCAAAAAAATATGGAACGCTTCACGAATTTGCGTGTCATCCTTGCGCAGGGGCCATGCTAATCTTCTCTGTACTGTTCCAATTTTAGTATATGTGCTGCTGAAGCGAGCACTCTATTCTTTTTATGAAAGAAAGAAAACAGGGAAAGAAAAGAGAGAGGAGGGGAGGAGAGGAGAGGAAAGGGAAGGACAATACAGGAAGGAAGGGAAGACAGGAAGAAAGAAGGGAGGGAGGGAGGGAAGGAGATTTGGGTAAAATGATTACTTAGTTCAATTTACTAAGCAAGAACAGAAATGCACTTGAAGTATCCTAAAATGATTCTCTTCTCAAAACTTAGAAGAGAGGTTCCCCAGATGCACAAGGCAGAAAATTTTAAGAGTTAACAAAGTTAGATATTAACTGTAGTCCATTAATAGATATTTTGCAAGGGAATACAACTAGTACACAGAGGCATGGGAAAACATTCAACCTTAGTAACTGAAAAAACCAGAAAATTAAGATACATGAATGGGTTTCAACTATTAAATTAACCTGGAAAAAACGTTTTCTTAAATATATTACTCAGTGCTGCCAAGACTAAAATAAAGTCCCAGTTTTTAATGGTTGCCAGTGAGGGCAAAAAAGTGTAGCCCTTTAGCAAAACAAGCGAGTAGGCTGTGTGCACAGCCAGAAACAGCTCCCAGGGCCTTTGGGTCTGGCCTCTCGTTACTGAGAATCCAGCCCAAGGACAGTTCTCAAAATGGGGCAAGTCAGGTCCTTCCTCACCTTCACAAGAGTCAACATTATTTCCAGGAGTCGAAACCTGGAAACCAGATGGGTGGAGCTCCGTGGTGAGCCCTTGCCTAGCCTGTAAAAGGCCCTGGCTTCCATCCATAGCACAGCAGGAAGGAAAAAAAAAGATGAATGCTGAATAATAAATAATAGTGTAATGAGTGAACTATAGTGTACCAAATTAATGGACTATTATCTAGGCATTAAAAATGGTAGAAAACTTTAAAAACAGAAAAAAAAAAGTTAGCATGTTGAAATGTTACATGGAAAAAATCGAAATGTAAAAACTACATAACCATGACAATTATAACTGGGAAAGAGCCAGAATGCAAGCTTCCAAGATGCTAATGTGTGATGCCTTTGTTTTTCTCCTCTCCTTTCCCCCAATTTGTACAATATGTAATTTAATTACCTTACGATAAAACCTCTTCCTGTCTTCTGAAAACTTTTCGCCTGTGTAGACATAAAAGAGCTGCTCAATGGCCCATGTCCCACCTAGAGACACCTGTCCCAGCCCTTCCTTGCCCGTTAGAAAGGGCCAGAATTTGTTCTCTTTTTTTGAGGCGGGGGGAGTACCAGGGATCGAACTCAGGTCCTTGCCCTTGCGCAGCAGGCAGCGAAACCACTGAGCTAAATCCCCGGCCCCACTCTCTCTTTTTTTAAGCCCGAGGTACACAATGCAATCCCTCTCCGAGGTGAGAGCACTGGCCGCCTTCACCTTCATCCCCAGAAACACCCACTTGTCCCAAAGAATCAGAGAAAAGACTCCGGAGTAAGTCACACAGTCTATCCATCTCCCTTGCAGGTGGCATGAATCCTACCCTGGCTGCCCCAGAATATCTGTGCAAAGATGGTGCAGATGGTCACCTCACGGACACCCTGATGAAGACGACATAACAGTTCATCTTTACCAGCCACTTATTGGGCTGTAGGCAGACACTGTGCTGTACGCTTCATGTGCTTTTTAAAGCTTCGTTCACAGCAAATGCCGAAGTGTTCTCACTTTGAAGAGGAAATTGAGGTATTAGGGAATCCTTCAACCCTCTCGATGGCTAAGGTTTAGCACATTCTAGAAACTTTCCCAAGCACACTCAGCCACCTAAAGAGAGAGAAGAGGCTCAGATATGGACACTGATAGTCTTTTCCATGGCTTACATTGTCGATTCCCAGAGTGGAACAGGGAATACACTGAAAATGAAAGTGGAATTTCTGTTAGAAAAGGGACTTTTTCTTTTCCCTATACTGTCTAATCTTTCTAGTGTTCTGGTTTCGCAATTTAAACAAAAAAGGGAAGGGGCAACAGAGAAGAGGTTAATGCATGTATTTGTATGTATGTATGGTTTTTTAAATGATGTTTTGATCAAAAGACTAAATAAATGCCAGTCAAGTTTCTACTACCCTTCGGGGCAAGTGACAGGGTGAGGACAGATAAGAAGGAGCCTGTATCCAACAAAACCAAACAGCTCCAGGCAGCTGTGGGCACCATCCATGTTCCTAACATTCTGTCTCCATTCCCTCTTCCAGTTTAAGCAGGATTTCTAAAATCACAGGGCTGTGCCGACAGAGGGCAGAGAATGTTACAGGAGTTACCAATATCACGTAGCTGTTGTAGACAAAACTGGGAATGCAACTTAGGTTTGACTCCTCCTCCTGCATTCCTTCACAAACTTCTCCTGGCCAAATATTCCCTTTTAACTAATGATTGTCACATTAACTGGAGTTCAAAAACACACCTTGGCCCGAAAAAGGCAGGTCCACAGGTTCACATACAGTACTTGTACAGTGTTTAGTAATCCTTAAAACTAGACAGATGATAGGGCTCATCTGGAACTCAAATGAGAAATTTTAAATTTCTAGCCATTTTGAAGCCATGTTAGAAACAGGGAAAAGTTACTTTTCAAAAGAAATTTTGCAAAAAAAGGAACAGTATTATGTCTAGTGGTCTATTCAGAAAAATTCCATATGATAAACAAAATGGAATATTCTCACCCCCAAACAATGCTATCTCCAAAACTTTTCTGAGGACCAGGAGCAGGCCTGGGGGCTATTGGGCCCCCCCAGGCAGGCCAGAGCCAGGCCAGGAGGGACAGATCTGGTGGCAAGGAGCATCTGGCTCCTGTGGGTGGGCTCCAACCCCAGTGCTCCTTCCTGTGCATCATCAGACTGGGCCTCAAATCCCCATAACAGCTATGTTAAAAGTTCAAGTTGTCCTGTTCTCAGCCATTTCCTCAGCTGTCTTCCAGAGAGACATCAGGTTCAGAGCCAGAACGCACAGTCCTCTTGTCAGAGAGGCCACATGGCCTGGTTCCCAAAGTGCACGAAGGAGCCAAGAGCTACTGTCCACGATGTGGCCCCAAGTCACCCTAGAGTGAGCCTGTGGCCAACATGCATGGTGCTTCCCACCGGCCAGTTGCTCAAGGGGATGACCCATGGCCAGGCTCATTCTGCAGAGACAGATGGGGGTGGGGGAGAGGAGCTGACTCCATGGGGCAAGGAGCGTGGCCACTTGATGCACTAAGTCCCTGACTCACATGCCAGGTGCGCCTTATAGATTATCCCCAATCAGCAAAGAAAAGAGGCTGGGGAAGCTCCCACTTCACGCTGGATACTCGACATGATGCTGGACCTTTCTAAATTATCAAGGAAACAACACAATGAACCACAAGCAAGGAGGTCAACAGCACAGAGAGCCCTAGGTTCAATGCTAAGTCTGCTGCTTGCTTGTCCTGACCTGAGACATTGCAGCCATATGACCTCAGGGATTCTCAGATGGCTCCTACATAAGCAAAAGTGACAGCAGTACCCCAGGAAGTGGAGTCTCTAGGGAGAATGCTCTGCTCTCCCAGCTGTGGCTTCCACCAACAACACCCATTTCCGTACAGATCATGCTACTCTGGGTCACGGGGACAGAATGGACAGGCTAGGACTGCTGGACAGAGGCCCAAGCCCCCCCGCATGCAACAAACAGTGTGCAAGGTGAAAGCCAGATGGGACCTCCGCCTTCCACTGGGGATCAGCTGCGCCCTGCCCGCAGCCCGGCGCCAGGCACTCACGGCACTCCTTCTCGTCGCTCTTGTCGAAGCAGTCAGGCAGCCCGTCGCACTGCCAGGAGCCCGGGATGCAGCGCCCGTTGCTACACATGAAGTTGCCTGGAATGTTGCACTCGTTGGTGAAGTTGTTCCCAGGGAGCAGCTGGCTCTCTGTTGGAGAGAGGGGACAGGGGTCAGAAGACACCACATCAGCAGCCCAGCTGAAATGGCACCGGTGAGAGCCCCAGTAGTTGGCTCTGCCCCTCTTGGCCTCAGTTTCCCCACTTGCCAAATGGACGAAGACCTGCCTCACCCCCTGCTAGGGATCCCGAGAGGGCTAACTGGAGAAATTAAGGAAAGCACTTATGTGCCTGACACAAAACAGGTGCCCAAAACTGACTTTTGGGCTGGGGAATGTAGCTTAAGTGCGAGGCCCTGAATTCAATTCCTGGTTGAAAGAAATTTTTTTGACTTTTTTTTCCTACCAAAAAGATTGCATATAAAATCCAAATGTTCTTTTCTAGTCAGCAGCAATGGGTAAAAAGTAAAGTTCCAGACAGAAGTGCACACCGGACTCCTGAATCTTGACAGGCCATAGACTTGCAGTCCCTACAAGCACAGAGTCCCTGAATTGGGTTGAGTTGGCAGGAAAACCCGGAGATCGTTTCCCTCTGGGAAACTGGATGCCCAGATCTACAAACCCACCTGCCTGAGTTCCTATGGGGAGGAAAGGCCGAGAGGAAACTTGAACTCAGGCCTTCTAACCCCCAAGAGGCTGCCCTTGGCACTCCCCCCACCTGCCAACAGTTCCAAGGCTTAGAACCAGGCTCCAAGGTTCAGGTTCAGTGCCCAGAACAGAGTCATAAAGTGCCAAGGCCGCCACCCAAACTCCCCTTGGTCGAGAGAGCAAACAGGAAGCTGGAACAATGGCAAGTTGGGGAGGAGAGCGGAACTCATCCCCTCTAAATCCTGGGAGCAGATTTTCCAGGGAGCCAGGTTCAGATCAATCTCATCAGCCTGAGCCAATGTGGTCAGTGGCTGGGAGGTAAGAAATCATTTGGAAATAAGAGTCTTAGGGGAAAAGGAGGAAAGAAGAGACCAGTCTTTCGGTACACACAGCTCCGGGGCTCCCTTCTGAGTCATTCAGTAAGCGTTTATTGGGCCTTTGTGACCAAACACTTGTGCTGTGTGCAAGACAGGCATAGCTAGGGCTCCTTCTTTCAGGCTGGAAAGACACACATGCACTCTAAAGATTTTACTGCCACGGCTGTAAAGAGAAATGAGCTTCTAGACCTGCCTGGAGGTGAGAGAGGGAGAGAAGAGCCCAGGGTCCTCTTTCTCAAGATTTGCCAAACAGAAGCATCTTTAAATGTCAATACTGAAGATCCCTCACCACATCCCTTTCTTGCCATTCTCCTTTCTATGTGCTATTTCTTTCACCTGGGATACACTTCTACTCACTGGGTTTCCTGGAAAATCCCCCCACACCCTTCAGTGATCAACTTCTCCACTGCCTTCCCTCTGAAGTGTTCCTTGGCTTCTCCAAGCACAGGTAAGCACATACTCTGTGGTCTGGTGATGCTACTATCGGGGTGATACTAAAAATAATTTATAACTGGAACAAGTAGGCAAGGACCAATGGGAATGGACACAGGCGTAGGAAAGCAGCACCACACCAGCTCTGGTGCCATGGATATTCCTGGTAGACCATCTGCCACACTGCGCTGGATCTGTAGCACACATGCATGTCTCCCTGCTGAAGTGAGCTGTCACACACAGCTCACTGGAGGACTCAGAAGAGAAGCTACAGCAGGGGGCGCCACTCTGCCCAATTGCTCACATCCAAACCTTAGAAATCTTCCTTGTTCCTTATTCTGTCACCCCTACAAATGGCTAGCCATCAAGTCTCCATCGCTCAAGCCCAAGCAACTGCTGCCCCTAACTAGGATCACTGCCTGCCACAACCTGCCAGCTTGGCTTCCCTGGCTCCCGTCATGCCCTAGTCCAATCCATTCTCCCTTCTCGTGGCCAGAAAGATATTTCTAAACAGCAAATCGATCATGACATTTCATTACTTTAAAAAGCTGTTGAAAGCTCCCCAGTGTTCTCATGGGGAAAATTCAAGGGAACCAAGACCGACTCCAGGAGAGAGATGGTGTTTGCAGAGGATGTGGATGGACATACAGAGATGAAAGGTAAGGCTCCGTCAGGCCTAGGAATCAGGGTCAGCTAAGAGGTGGTGCAGGAAGGCCCGGCCCAGGGGTGGAGGGGTCTGAAATAGAAAAGCATGTATCTCTGACTGTTAGGAATTGCAATGTATTGTGCTACCATTTCTCCTATTCTATCACCCAATCAGACATCAGTAATCAGTTATGGTATCTTGCTCCATTGAGCCCAGACTCAACATCAGACTTCCTCTGAAGTGATTCCAGAAAGTCACCATCAACACCAAGATGAACAGAAAACCATTCACTATGTGATTCGCAACGTGATGCTGGAGGGGGTGTGACAGGAAGGAGCCTAGAAAGGGGCAGCCAGGTGCAGAATCCTAGCCAGACACCAAATGCTCAGCCCAGGACACCCACACACACCAGCTGTTCCAGAACAACTGCTCCCCGCATCACCAGCAAGCAGGGAACTCTTTGGGGCTGCGGAATGCAGGACTGTCGCTCTGTTTTGCTTGGAAATCACTTGCGCTTGCTGTTGTAGATCTAGCTCCTTGAAGGCAAACCCCCTGGAAAAGTCACTACAACTGTGAAGTCTTGTTCTGATAAACAGATTTCCAGAAGCAGAAAATTGGCCAGATTAGATTGTAAAGTGCTTGCTCTGAGAGTCAATAAGGCTGCTGGCACACGGACTTGACAAATGAATGGGAGGATGCAGAGACTAAACACCATGTCCGTTACACACAGGTGGCCCTGCCAGCCACGGGCACCCGAGCCTGGTGAGTGATAACCGAAAGGCACATTCTTTCCAGCCTTCTGAGCAACTCCATTATGCATGCAGGGGGCACACAGCCGGGTGCTTTAGGGAAATGACAACCTCATCAAACTTAAAAACATTAGAGGAAACCAAGCATAGAGAAGTTAAATCTGGTGAATTCTGTCATCAAAACCTTCCTCAACCCCATCCACTTTGCCTCATTAAACTGGCACCACCCAATCCAAGCCACCATTATCTCTTGCCCCCTTTCAACCAGAGGTTCTGGAAAGAAGGCAGTTTTGTGCACCAGTGAGCATTCGTCAGTGTTTGGAGACATTTCTGTGTCATGATGTGATGGGGTGGTACTAGCATTTAGGAGGCAAAGGGCAAGAATGCTGCTGAGCATCCTGCAGAGCACAGGTCAGCACCCAAAACACAGGCCCACCCAGCCCCAAATGCCAACAGCACCGAAATGCAGAAATCTGACTTCAACCTACTGCTAACACTTCTCATCCTTTCCTTCTGGGTCCTTCTCTTCACAAGGTCTGAGATTTTTAAATGTAACTGATAAAATCTAAAACTCGCACTGGTTTGCAAAGTCCAGCATGATTCCTCCCCTGTCCATTTCTGCAACTTCTCCTGGAATACTCTCCTCGATCCCACCAACGTCTCGCCTGCTGTGAGGCCTCCAAATGTGCTGCCTGTCAACCTCCAGGAGTCCTGATTTTGTCCTCCCAAAATGTGTTATGTGAAAGTCCTATGCCTATGCATGCAGGGGGCACACAGCCAGGTGCTTTAGGGAAATGACAACCTCATCAAACTCGTATTTAAAGACAGGATCTCGTATTTAAAGGCAGGATCTGCAGAGCGCCAAGGAAGTGAAAATGAGGTCAAGAATGCCCTCTAGTTCGGTAGGACTGAAGTCCTTAAAAGAAAGATTAGGACATCAACAGGTACAGATGGAAGAACAGGCGAACACACAGGGAGGAGACACCACCTAGAAGGCAAGGACAGAGCCCTCAGAAGAAACCAACCCTGCCAATATTTTGATCTCAGACTTGCCACCTTCAACACTGTGGCCCAATCAGCTCCCACAGCTCCCGTTGCTTCAGCCCCGCCCACCACCACCACCATATTCCAGGAGCCCCAGCAATCTAATGCAGCTAGCTAAGCAGGCCCCTTACACCTCAGCTTAAGTCACTATGTCTGGGTCCCTGCATGGACACCCAAGCTAATGCTGGTCCCCTTGTCTTTCACTCTTGGTCACTTTCTGTGTTTTCCTTTATCCTAATTTGTATTCATAGGTCTGCCTGCACCATCTCCCAATAACACAGAAGGCTCCGTGCAGGCAGAGAGGCCCTGTGTAATTAAGCTGTATCTCAGGCACCTGTTACTCCACAGGTCCCCAACAAACATCTGTGACCATCCAAAAACCAAGTGTTGCATTACTAACTTATTCCCCAGCCCCAGACCTTTCCTTGGAAAGTTCCACCCACCCTTGCCCCAGGGCCCTAGTATGTGAGTGGGATGTGCACATATGTGGTTAAAACTGGGGGACACGGTGGGTATCTGGACGTGTACAAGTAAATTACTACCCTGTCTGCTTTAAAAGAAGTTAGAAATCTTTTTAACTCAACAGCAGGACTTCCTAGTGGCTTATGTATCCCATCTCAGTGTCATGGGACACATTCAGAATCCAAAATAGACAAACATTAGCACGAAGCTGGCTAGCTGGAGTTTCTCCTCCTTCCTTCTTTTTTTCATTAAGCTGAAAAATGAAAGAGTTGCCCATTTTCACTGCAACACATCACTTCCTTAAAATAACTATACCATCTGTACCAAGAATGAGGGAAAAAGGACAAATCCAAGTCCTCCCCCATTGGACAAAGGCAAAAAGCCTGCTATAGCAGCTTCTTCCAAAATCTCCAGCATCCACAAATTTACACTTGACAAGGGGGCCAAAAGGGAGGCAACTACCAAAACTCCCACAGCTGCTAGGTTCCACCGGAATCATTCAGGAACACAGTTAGTGATGTGGATTTCTCCAGCTGAGAAATGGGAATTCTATACCACCAGCTGGTGTCCTCTGGATTCTCTCCCTCAGCTCATCTCCCTCTCTCTCTAGGGAAACCCCTGTCATGCTGCCCTACGGAACTGACATCTGCAACCCATCAACGGGCCCTGCTTTCTGATTTCTGCCCTACAGCCTTCATTCTTGTCCTTTGCTCCCTGACAATCGGGTCTGTAGG